CAGTCTGCCTCTCCCTCTTCCGAGTCTGTATTAGTCTGGAAGCTCAGTTGAAACCTGTCCACCATAGGTGACACTGTTGTCATTCAAAATACGCATGGCATAGTTTCCAGCATCACAGCAACACACAAGCCACCACAGTGCGACAAATTGACCAACAAGTGGTGGTCTGAAAAGTCAGCCACTGATATAACCTTATGAATAGCAGCGGAATGTTGTCTAATATAGTGCCAGAAGTCGAAACACAGCGCTGCAACAATGGACTCCAACAAAACAGCAATCAGAGAACGGTGCAGGACTGTTGTGTACAGTGTCACTACGAGTCAGAGCCAATTTACAGGCACCTATCAACAAGCTCCAAACCCACTGCTGTTCAGCCTATACCCTCTCATAGTGATCCTATAGTAGCATGTAGAACTGACCCGCTTTAACACTTTAAAGAGGTCTTTCTTAGCCAATTTTCCCAATGCACTGTCATTTGAGTTTTTGACTGCTGCTTCCATGATCTTTGATTGTGAAGTCAAGTAAAATAAAATCCATGACAACTTCAACAGAGTCTCTACGTATCATGATGCTTCATATTGGCCCCGTTGTAAGGATTTTGGGTTTGTTTTTTGTTTCACAGTGAGCCATAATCCATATCAAAGGCAGTCATCTTTGATCTTCATCAGCAAGTCCTCCTCTTTCCTTTCAGCAAGCAAGGTTGTGCCATCTGCATATCACAGGTTATTATATCCTCAAGTCCTAATGTAATGTTCTTCTTCATATAATCCAGTTTCTCAAATTAGTTGCTCAGGATACAGATTGAATAAGTATGGTGAAAGGATGTAACCAGCTTGCTGGTTTTAAGCTACTCCCCTTACTCTGTTCTAAGGACTGCCTCTTTTACAGGTTCCACAGGAGCACAATTAAGGGTCCTGGAATCTCCATTCTTTGCAATGTTTAGTCATAGTTTGTTGTAATTTACACAGTTGAATGCCTTTGTATAGTCAATAAAACATCATTCTGGTATCCTCTGACATCAGATATTTTTTGTTCCATGTCCTCTTCTTAATCTGGTTTGGTTTTCTGGCAGCTCCCTGTTGATACACTGCTAAAATTGATATCCTGATAAAACTGTGTTTTAATTACCTTCAGTAAAATTTTACTTACATGTGATATAAATTCTATTGTTAGATCATTTCTGCATTGTAAAGGGTCACCTTTCTTTGGAATGGGCACAAATGTGGATCTCTTCAAGTCTGTTAGCCTACTTGACATAGACTACTCAGTGGTTCCATCACTGTATCAGTTTTTGAAATATTTCAGTTGGTATTCTGCCAATTCCTGGAGCCTTGCTTTTCGCTAATGCCTTCAGTGCAGCTTGGTCATTACTGCTTAGTGGGTCAAATTTGTTCTTGAGATGGTGTCAACATTCAGGTGGGACATACTCAAGGTCATATTTTTCATGTTTTAGCTCTCCAGGACTTGTCTTAATTGTGTTCCGCTTCAACCTGAACTTTTGATATGAGCAATTGATGGTGTGTTCCCCAGGTGGCCCCTCACCTTGTTTTGGCTGATGATAGTGAGATTCTCCGTTGTCTCTTCTCACAGATCCATTTAGATTCCTGTGTACTCCCTCTGGCAAGGTCTGTGTGTACAATCTTTTATGCTGTTTAAAAAGGGTATTTGCAATGAATTAGTCTTTGGTTTTGCAAAATTCTATCATGTGATTTGCTGAATCATTTCTATCAACAAGGCCATATTTTCCAACTATTGCTCCTTCCTCTTTGTTTCCAACTTTCCCATTATAATCATCAACAATTAACACTGGATACTTGATCAGTTTTAGAGTGAAGAAGTTAGTAGAATTCTTTAATTTCTTCATCATTGGCTTAGGTGTCTGGTGCATAAATAAATTGTGTTAACTGGTGTTCTCTGTAGGCATATAGATGTTATAATAGCACAGAAAGCATTGTGTTTCAAGAAACATCTTGAAATGTTCTTTTTAACAATAAATGTGATGCCATCCCTGTTGAATTGTCATTCCCAGGATAGCAAGCCATATGATTGCTCAGTTCAAAGTGGCTAATATTAGTCCATTTAGTTCACTAATGCCTAGGATATTGATCTTTATGTGCTCCATTTCATTATCTACAACTTCCAAATTTTCTAGGTTCGTACTCCATACATTCCACATTCTGATTATTAGTGGAAATTTGCAGCTGTTTTTTCACCTTTTGAGTTGTGCTCCATTAACAATTAAATGAACTAAAAACTTTGCTCCATCCATTTCACTAAGGTCAACTTTACTCCAATGATATTCTGAGTGCCTTTCAAGAGGAGGAGCTCATCTTCAGGCACTGGATCAAACAAGAATATGCCACAGCCTATAATCTGGGGATTCTGAGCCTCTTCAACTGACGGAGACTAACTGAAGGTGCCAGGACACCCAGACACAGTGTCAGTCCAGGGTACTGGTCCACAGGCATTCCTATCTCCTGCACAGAAGCAGCTGCCACATACCAAACTAAAACCAAAATTGTTACTGTCCAATTGGCGCCAGTTCATGGCAATCCCATGTTTTACAGAGGAAATCTTTGCAGAAGCAGACCAGCAGGTCTTTTTCCCACCATGTATCTGGATGGGTTGGACTGCCAATTTGAAAGCTAATAATTGAGCACAATTTGCAATGCCCAGCAATCTGGCCCATTGCCAGGTGCCACATACAGGACCAGCACCGACTGGCAGATCTTCATGTATTTTTTTTTCTTCAGGATGTTTAAGGTGAAAAAGATGCTAAGAAACCACTCTGACGTTTTCTACACTCATCCCTGGTTCCTTTTGTCTCTCCTTGTTGCCACCATTAAATCCATTTTGCCAGGAACCTTTGGATTATCCTATGAAGCAGGTCAACGAGGTTTTGTGGGGGTTTTTGCCATGTGACAAATGGGCCTGGCAGATGAGCATTAGGAACTCTTGTATAGAAAGACTTGGGCCAGTCCCACAAGGCAATTTTACACGTTGCTATGAGATTAACGATTGACGATGGGAGAAAGAGGTGACAGTCCACTCCTGAAAAGATATATAGCTTTGAAAAGCTTATAGGGAAGTTCTACCATCCCCTTCCGGGTCACTAAGAGTCAGACTTGGTCCCAACGGAATCATAATGGTTAGATTCCATTTTCGGGGGGTGGGGAGCCAAGAGGAGGGTGCGGATAAATGAGAAGGCAGCTGACAACAGTATGAGCTATTCTTCAGGCTTCACTTTTGTGTGAGATTGTAGCTTGATTGCCACTCTGCAGTAACCGTATTAAAGAAACATAATAAGCTATAGCCCACGGAACACCAATAGGAAGGGGAAGGCTGTCATTGGCTGCCATTACTGTCAATCATAAAAGAGTTCAACCTATTCCTTCAAAAAAGAAGAAATGGGCGGGCCTTCAGCTGTATCCTCTGAGATGGGGGTAAGGAAAGGAGATTTGTGGGTCTCCTGTACTCTGCAAAGACCACTTTAAGAGCTCAGGGACAAAGCCTCAGGGCAGTGAACAGGCAGCAAATGTTTAAGGCTGATATCTGATTAAACTTCATGGTGTTGCAAATAGAAAATCAGGGAACTTTCTTTAAACATGTTCTGATTGCTTCCTGTCTTTAACTGTTCTGAACTTTTACTCGCTACATCATAAAAGAGAAGCAATCCATTATTTATTTGTTGTTGTTGTTGTTGTTGTTAAGTGCTGTCCAGTCGATTCATTTAGGGCCTGACAAAGATTTCGCAAAAATTCTGCTAAAATCCTTCCTTAGACTTCTTTTTATTCTTTCATAAAACTCTCCTTTTATAAGTCATTTAATTACTACAGTGCAGAGTCTTCATGCAGACTAAGGCATTTCATGCATTTATTATTGTCTATACAGATCTGGACCAATAAACAACATTCTTATCAACAGAGAAAAGATTGAAGTTGCCAAGGACTTCGTTCTTCTTGGATAACCTATCAACACTCACTGAAGCAGCAGTCAAGAAATCAAACAACATATTTTGTTAGGCAAATGTGCTGCACAAGATTTTTTAAAGTGTTGAAGAGCAAATATGTCAGCTTAAGGATGAAGGTGTTCCTGACCCAAGCCATGGTATTTTCAGTAACCTCATATGTATGCAAAAGCCGGACAGTGAATAAGGAAGACCATAGAAGAATTGATGCTTTTGAGTTTTGGTGTTGGAGGAGAATATTGAAAGTGCCTTGAGCTGCCAAAAGAACCAACAGATCCATTTTGGAAGAAGTGCTGCCAGTGTGCTCCTTGGAGGCCAAAATGGCCAAACTTCGTCTCTCATACTTCGGACATATTGTCAGGAAGGAACAGTTGCTGGAGAAGGAGATCGTGTTTGGTAGGGTGGAGGGTCAGAGAAAAAGAGGAAGACCCCCACCGAGATGGATTGGCCAAGTGGCAGCATCAATAGACTCAAGCATGGCAACAGTAGTGAGGTTGGCCCAGGATCGGGCAGTGTTTCATTCTGCTGTGCATAGGGTGGCTATGAGTCGGTACAAACTCGATGGCACCTAACAACAACAACAGCAACATACAGAACTTTGAACTACAATTCAAGATGTTATATTTACACATGCAAGCAAAATAATATGTATTTGTGAAATCCATCCAAAGTTGAAAGTTTCAAACTGGTTTTCTGAAGGCAGACAGGTTGCTTTTTCAAGATCTCATTGGCATATAGCAGTCAAGAAAGTCTCATCCTCTAAACTTTTTATTACTTTGATCATGTGATCCAGAGAGTCCTCAAATGAGGTCTCAAATACAAGAAAGCAGGAAGAGCCTTTTGAGGAATGTGCCTTTCCCCGTAGTGCCATGATCCTAATGTTCACCGGTTTATAAGTGGAAGTGACCCTAGACCTGTTTCTCAGATAAGCAAACTGAGGTGTGTGAAGTTGAAATGAGAGCAAATTGGCTGTTGGTATGTTTTTGCCCCTACACCTCCTTTGTGAGTCTGAGTCATGCCCAACCCCACTTGTTTATGGAGACGCGAGCTTGCCACAAAAGAGAATCATGTTGGTGCGAATGTGCCTTATAAAGAACAGAAAGGGGTGATTGGCCTTGAACTGAGCTCGGATGGGAAGCCTTTTTACTACAATGATGTCCCCAGTGGCAGCCGCAGCCTCAGTACCCTCCTCGTTGACATCCACATATGACTTGTGGATAACCTTTGACAAATACAGGTTCTTAGCTGCTGACATTCCAGAAAGATCAGCTTTGATTGGGTCAAAGATCTCTGTCATCCCTAGGGATTTCAACAGAGAATTCAGCTCGTACTTGATTTCAAGTTTGAATCGGGGAATATGCACTTCAACTTCTCTTTCCATCATATTGGAAGAGCTGGTCCACTCCTGAAATGTCTTCAGGTTCAGCTGTTTCTCAAGCTAAAAGACAAAACACAGGTGATCCCAGACAAAACACAGGTGAGTCCAGGTCCGCATTTGATGCTGATCATTTCGATCATTCTCAACATGAATGGCTTCTCTACATCCCTTTAAAATGCGCTCAAGTCCTACCTCGCTGAGAAAGAACACTTGCATTTAGACACACCTCTCCCCATACTATCATCTGTTCCTCATTGCTAGTTCATAATAACATGACCGCAGCCAGGAAGGGAAAACTAGACCCAGATTCCTGTACATTATCACACCACTTCTGAGGTGCTGTAGAACTCATTTCCCATAAAACCAGGGTCCTATAAAGGATAGGTAACCCACAGAAGCGTGCTAGCAACCGGATCAGAATTATTGCCCCTGTACATAAGAAGGTTCATCAAACTCTTGTGGACTGGGAGTCGAGCCATCACTGTTTTACTCTGGAAAGATGTCTTCCAAGTATCAGCGACTGATATGTGGGCATGCTCGCACCTTCAGACTGCGTATATACATGGGTTCATATATTTGCACAGATTGGCACTTTAGCTTTCGTGAGCCTTTTTATGCTTGTTCTCCTTAAACACACTTTCTACAAGGGAAGGGAGCATGTGTCCCCCTACCCACTGCCCCTACAGTCCTAGGACAGCAATGGTAAGCCTAGACATCAATGAATCAGACACTGAGACAGAGGATGTGTATCTTGCCCTGTTAGTGGGCTTGCCATTTACCTGTTCTAGATTAGCTGTGCCTACTGGAAGCAGAATAATCATGCTGAGTCGATTGTTGACATAGGGCAGCTCAAGAACCTGTATCTGTGGCTTCTTTATGAAGGCCAATTTAAAAAGTCCAGTTTGATACATCATTTCCACAATCACACTTTTACCCTACGAAAAACAAGAGGTAGTCATTAATAATAGCACATAGATGTGTGTAAACATACCTAGACAAAGCCTAACAGGAATACCTGCATTCACACTAGAGCGCTGGTAGGAATCACTCAATCTATCCTTTACCACGCTCCTCTTGCAAAGGCTCTCAACTGTTTGGTTGTTGAATACTTCATGGTCCAAGGCTGACATTGGTGATAAAGGCACGAAGTATCTGGCTCATAAGGTTTCAAGAGGAAATATAGTTTCAGAGTGTGCAGGGGAAG